GCCTGGATTGTGCATCTGGAATAATTATAGACTTTAACTGTGTTTAATTATAATCACTTAATAAAAGCTGTTGCTGCTATGTGTTGGCAGGTGTCTGCTACTGCTCTGTGGACTTGATTTGATTAATGTTTTAGGTGGCACACCACTCATCAACACATCTTTAAACTTAATGTTGCAGGAGACAATCAGATAGAATATGAAAGGCAAATGCATTTAATTTATTTTGTAATGCCATGTAAAATTCCAATGATTAATTTATGATTAAAAAACATACATTAATACATGGGAATTAAATTCACTTTTTATTTATTTTACTTTGAGATTCATAGTGCATCATTTAAATTAAATTAATTCATTAGTTATAGGTATGTAAACACTGCAACCATAGCTGCATCTGCTGATTAGTTTCTCAGTTAATAAATTCATTGTTTGGTCCTCAAAATGTTGGAAAACAGTGAAAACTAACATCTTGTTTTATCCGATGAACAGTCCAAAACCCAAGATACTCAATTTACTGACAAAGAAAAACTTTACATGCTAACATTTGGGAAGCTGAAACCAACAAAAGTTTGACATTTTTGTGTGAAAAAAATGACTAAAACAACAACTGATTTTCAAAAAATGTAAACTCTAATATGAACTTCACCAAAACAACAGAAATATACACACTATATATATATATATATATACACTATATATTTGCATATGTTTAATTTAACAATCAACTTTAATATAAATGTAATACATACCATAATATATTTTTATTTTTTTCAGCTACAACCAATAAAATAATACTATTTTCAGGCCTGCCTGAAAGCACTCTACTGTATCAAGTCTAACCCTTAACTTGTGTTGACCTGCAGGAGGAGTTTCCCCAGCACAGAGCTGCTGTCAGTGGAGATCAGCCTGGACTCAGACTCCCAGAGGATGGAGGGGAAACATAATGGAGGAGCCTGGTGCACAGGTGACATTTTACAGTCACACACTTTACCACAATGTGTTCTTGTAAGATAATAAGTGAGTAAACACTTGAATTGACCCTTGTATGTCTGTCCCACCCCTCCAGAAAAGGATTACACCCCCTCCATGATGGGACTATGTGGGTCCTTGGCCTCCCTCCCCAGCTGCAAGTCTCTGGCTAGCCTCAAATCCAGCGAGTGCCTGGTTAATATCAGCACAGAGAACAGTCCTGCCCTCTCTCCCAGCTAGGGGGCACCAAAGAAACACTGCCAACCACTTAACAGACACTGAGACAATTCAACATGAATACAAAAAGACTACATTTGGTAGGCGGACAAATGCTCTCTTTCATGGCCCCTACGTGAGTCCCTTTACCTTTACGCTCTGAGCCCAGCACTCTCTCGACTGACACCTTTTAAGCATTTGTGAAAGAGTAGCCTCCGTGTGTGGGACTGTGTGACAAAGATGCAGGAATAGCTGCTGTACTGCCTGGCGGCCTCCTTCAGTTTCACTGTCTTTAATTGTCTTGACATGATTAAACCTCTTGACATGCAAACAACTGGTTCGAGTTTGACAACTCTTACGTCACATGATGCTTGATTTTGTGCACTTACAGTCATGTATCAACCGGTCACATTCATCAAAACTCACTGTAGGGTTGTTCTGTATGTACTTGTCCATTTGTCTGTGTCTTATCAGTCTGTCAGTGTATTCTATTCTGCCTCTTGCATAATACTGACAGTGCAGGGTGGATGATCTGGTATAACCTTTTAGGGAACAGAAACAATGTTTTGCCATATTATATTACACTATTATAAGAGAGAAAAAGAGTTGGCTTATAATGTGCTGAGTTAAAGTGGCCTGACTGTTTTATGATGAAGATTATTTAAAAATTAACAGATGCAGCTTCATGATATTAGGATGAATGGCAGTTAATGCCTTATTCAATCATACAGTAGGTTAGATACAGATTTTAGGTTGTGACATACAAGACCTGTCAGGCTACCAAGGTTTGCAGAGCCATTACAATGTGAACATAAAAAACAGGCATACTATCTATTGCATACAAATGCAAAGTGCATTGAGACTATGCAGAATGAATGTTTTCATTGTCTTTTTCTACAAACCTGGATTGAGTAGTTTGAACAGGAGAGAAATAGTGAATGTGCAACGTGCGTATGTGTGTGCCACTAGATTTATTGCCCTCGTTTTCTTTTTCTTATGATCTATTCTTTTTATATTATAATTAATTTCATGACGTACTTATATCATTTACCACCATGTAAATTGCAATCTCATGCAGTGTTGTTGAGAGTTGGGATGCATTGTGTGATGTAAAATTGCAATAAAACTGCCTTTTTTGGAAACATTAAATGCTGGTATGCGTTGGATGTTTATTCTGTTGGTTGTTCGTTCGATGCAAATGTAAATCATTCTGTCCACCATTTTGATACAGACTAAATACAGCATGCTAACTTGCTAAACTAAGTTGGTGAACATGGTAAACATTACCTGCTCCATCAGCATGCTAGAATTGAGCATTGTGAGTCCCTGTGCTCCAGCAGTCGAACCTACTGGTCCATTATCTACGATAGTATTGCCACCTATTACTGATCAAAGGGGTGTTACATTAGCATGCTGATGTTAGCACTTAAAACATAGCACAGCTGTGTGGTTTTACTGATGGCAGTGTCAGTCTGTTGGTAGGTCGGTCCACCATATCACATTCATGGTTTGCAGACCATGTATCCCACTGACTTAATGATACCAGAAATTTTACTATAGTGCCATAATGAGGTTTTTGGTTTATGTTTAAATGCCAGTGTAAATCATTTAAATCTGCCTCAGTTTTACTTTGTGTTTAGTGTTGATCAGTAAATCATGCAAGTGCTAAGACACTAAACTATGGAAAACAGAGCAAAGATTATGCCTGCTAAACATCCACTTTCGCTGTTGAATGTAAACTGACTGCTTACGAACCTGATTGCCAAAATCTCGCACAAAACAAAAAATGACTGGGGGGGGGGTGGCAAATAAAATTAACTTTAAAGGAATAGTTGACATCACAGCAATATCAATTACTGTAGGTCCAAGGAACCCCAACACACGCTCTTTCCCCCTGTGCCTCGGTCACATTTTGTTTTCACGTCTCCCCTTTGTGAAGCGTGACATCGTCTCTCTTCAAATGGGTTTGAAATGACTTGCGTGAGGTCATAGGTTAGGATCATTTATTCATTAACACAGACAAATACACAGAGCTAAACAAACAGCAGCTGAAGGCCCTTTAGTAAACGTTGGAAATGCATTATGTAGGAGAAACATTCCACATCGACATACTGTCCAATTAACTGCCCGGGTTTAAAACGAATGGGTACCGGAGAAATTGTGAAAAGTTGTGTTTAGTTATCTGGCTTTGTGTTTGGCTGTTTTGTAAAAGTGACATCAATTGTTGGGTGGAGTTGCACTGGATAGATGAGCAGCCTGCTGGACGCATGGTTCAGCACTTCACCCTTGTGTGATAAAGCACATTCACTCCCATTCTGGTGTGCCAAACACACGAGCGTGTTATCTAAGCATGGGCTGTTTGGCAGTTTGGTTTGAATGAGGGGACGCTGAAGGCCTCAGCACTGGTCAGGGATCTGCCTCTGAAAATGAATGCTATGTTATCTATGCATCCTACTCTTGTCAAACCATTGGCACTCCCTTTTACACACAGTCAGGGCATTTATCTCCCACAATGCACACTGTCTCTCACACGTGGAAACACACACACCACCCAAAACCACTTCACAGTCCACCCAGATGGTGTACACACACCCAGCTGGTGTGATATGATAGTATGATGAAATAATTAGTCTACAAATGAATAAATGAAGGTGATGATATATTGGTATATATATTATTGTATATCCCCAATTACAGCTCAGCTAACCATTCTGCAAACCAATGCCACAGTGTTTTAGTCATGTGATCATATTTTTCCTACTTCTGGCTATCCAGTGGTTTCCATTCATTTCATTTGGTATGAAAATCTATTATTTAGCAGACTCTTGAGACTTGCTTTGTGCTTTGTGTGATCCATCACAGTGAACATCAACTGTGCATTAATTTTTGTCAAATCACATTATTGGTATGAGGTAATGTGGTGCAGACTTTCAAAATCAATCTTATTCTTTAATCCTATATTGCATCACCATACAATGACGACGTAACACTAACAAAAATGAATGCAGACTTGATGCTCACCGGGATCCAGTTTCAGGAGTCTGTATATAGTTATTTTCATGCTGAATTACAATTATTGGAAAGCAGTGAAACTGACATTGACTCTTAAACACAACCTGTATATTTGTATTACATTAATGCACTTCTGTTGGTTTTTTATTTGCACATTGCAAATATAATTATACGTTAAACTGCTGACTTGCATTGCATTATTTATTTATCCGCCATTTTGTACATACTCTCTCACTCTTTATATATAGTGGTTCCTTTTTATAGTCTTTATTTTAATCTTTTATCTTTATTTATATTTTTTCTAGCTTGATTATGATTCTTATGCACCAATGTATGTATGTGAAAACTTACTTGGCAATACACCTAATTCTGATTCTGATGCATTTTAAAATGGTCAGCAATAATGTTAAAGGTTACATGATTTGTAGTTGAAAAACTAAAACTTGCAAACACACTGGTATGGCCCTTTAAGTGCATGGGCAACAGGTCTACGCTTAAAATGGAAAACTACAGCTTCAACCATGAATGAAGTTTAAAAATTTATTATCAGTGTCGTTGCACATTGTTGATTTATTTACATAAAAAGCTGAAATGAGGTATTTCAACACGAATTTAATGGAGAAAATCCAGTTAATATGCCGATATGAATTAAGGGGGCGGTGACAGCAACCTTCATTGTCCAAGGTTTGACAGATTGATAGCGGGTCGTCCAATGGGATTAAAGACGGAGGCTCCACCGACCAATCACAAATGAGAACCAGAGCCGGGGCCCGCCCACTCCCATAATTAAATCCACACCAGCGTGGTCGTGGTTGGGACTGTTTAGAGTTTACACGGAGGGGGAAAATCACTGTGGACCACCTCGCAACTTTTTTCTGGGGCCACCAAAACACCCTCCAGAAAAAAAAACTATAATGAAAAACACCTCAAGTTGTTTTTCTTCTCAGAAGACGTTGGAGTTGACGTTAAAGTGACTTTCTTTTCTCTTTTTTAAACACTGGAGCTGCTTCCTTGTTCGACAACGGGGTGAAAATATCTCAACATCCTCACAAAGAAACTTTTGCTTGCTAGGCTGCTAACTCGCACACAAGCCAGAGAGAGAGAGAGACAGATAGAGAGCGAGACAGGGAGAGAGGAAAAGTATGATCACCGCCGAAGACTTGCTCTGAAGCTGTTAGTAACGTCTCATCTGTCGAGATAAGTGTTGATGGTAGTTGTATTTACTGAGAAATGGTTTTCTGTACGACTCGAGACTGAATTTGGTAACGGGTTGTGAGTGTTCATCATCATCATCACCAGTGGAGGAAGGGTTGCAGCTTAACCAGCCACCAGTGTTTCCACACAGCGCCCCCAGATCTGCACCAGGCAGGACAGCCATTGCTTTTTTTTTTCTTTTCTTTTTTGTGTGTTCCCCAGTTAGTTAGTTACTCAGTTAGTTGGTTAGTTAGTTAAGAGGTAGGTACCCCCCCCTCCCCCCCAGAATCAGATTTGTTCCTTGGAAAGATGTCTGGCCGAAGTGGAGTTGGACAGATCCGGGGAGCTACTTTGGGTCCACAACCCCTCAAGGCTACCATACCTTATCAGCTGGCCAGCAAGCCTCGACCCAGCCGGAGAGATGGAAAGCCAGGTATGAGTATCAGACTACATGGATCATATAGTTCTGCATGTATATAGGCTTTAATATGGTGCCATGATAGGAAGTCCACAAAAAGAAATATGGTGTAAAGTGGACTGTTTAAATACAGCCTTACATGCAGTGGTGTAGTGAGATAAGTGGGTATACTCTTTTTATTTGTGCCCCAAATTTTTAACCAGCCCGTACAGGAAAAAATGACAAACTCCTAACTCTTGCACATTTAGCTGGCCAGAAAATGGGCCTGTAGTATATTTCCACACTGTCACTTCACTTCTGCTGCTTGACTTCAGGGAGTTCAGGATCGTTTAGAAATTAACATTAGTCACAGAGGAAGAGCAGATTTTATCATCAGTACTGACCCAGAGAATATAAGGCGAGACAACGACATAAAATGATGCATTTTCATTGAAATATTCCTTATTCCTTGATCCATCCACTCATGAAAATTGGAAAATGATGTCTTTGCCATCCAAAAGAAATCAGCTCGCAGAACACAATGGAATGATGCACATAAGAGGGGATTCATGCTCTGTATACCTGCGTATACCCTGCACTACACCACTGCTTACACTGTTTCACGCCAGTCATATCCAACACTGAGTCTGCTTTAAAGTACTCATTAACTTCTGATATGTTTAAAATATTACTTTCAAATATACCTTGTTGAAGCTCCAGTGGTTAGGAAACATCTGTACCAGCATCACATCATAAAATAATCAATAATGTCACAAAAAGATAAAACTGAAGCATCTCTGTGTATCAATAACTTCCAAAATAAGAGATTCGACTAACAATCAGCTTTTTATTCATTGTTAAATGTATTGTATTGTTTAATAGTCACATGTAGCTGTAAGTGTAATTATATTGGTATAAGTGTATTCGCCTATCAAACTGTCACTTGAATTGAACAATAAAACAATAAAATAGATTTAATATAAATAAAAAACAGTATCGTATAGAAATGTGGATAAATGGATAATACAGCCAAGCAGTTACTACCATACAGATGTTTTTATATTTGCAACAAATTATTATTATTATTATTATTATTATTATTATTTATAGTAAATGCTTGTATTATTGATTCATCTTGCAAATACTGTGTCAATTTATTGATTATTGTTTGGTTGGTGATTTATTAGAAAATACTAAAAAAAATGGCCATTAGAAGTGGGTAAGAAATTGCTAGTCCTAAACCCAAAGATATACAGTTTATAATCACATCAGACAAATAAAACAGGAAATCTTCATATTTAAGAGGCTGGAACCAGCAAATATTTTGGCATTTCTACTTTTTAAAGAAATTATTTGTTATGTTTAAACACTTATCAAAATTGTTGCCGGTGAATTATATGTCAATATTCTAATTGATTAATCAATTCACCTTTTTAGACGTTGATGGTGACATTAAGTCGCTTGAAGCTTGCTTACTAAATTACACTTTTTGAGCACAGCAGTAATATTGATGCTGTTTTTCATGTGTAGGTGAGAATAATAGTTTATGAAATCTAATATGAGAGCACAAAGCTATAACATAGTCGAAATTATGCCACCAACTGATGCAAACTCAATGATACCAAGAGAATTGAATCTGTTGCTGCATGTTAAATAAAAAGTTGTCTGCGTCTGACAGCTGGAAAGACCAAACCGCACCAGCTGAGCTCTGGCATGAGGCGGACAATGTCTCTCGATGCCATCATTGGGCCGTACCTGCAGGGACACTGGCCGAAAGAACCAGAGGGCCAGAGCAGCCTGTCTCGCAAGGACAAATCCACCCAGGTCAGCTCCGGATGAAGAATGTTCCCTACGTGTGAAAATAATAATGCTGGCCACTTTGAACCAGAGCTGCTTTTGTCAGAAAGAAATGAATGGAATGCATTACTTTACCACAGATGTTTCCATATTTAGAGTTTTTTTTAATATTTTAAAGTCATGAACGTCTCTTTTCTGTGATGTTTTTTTTTTTTTGGTGGGGGGCAGATGGGGTCGGCTCATGTTTAGAAGATTAGTTTGCAGTTTGTGCCGATAAAGAAGTTGCTAGGAGACAGTGGGAGGGAGTGTCTGCTGCCTGCATAGCTATTATAGAGTGAGAACCACAGCCATGAGAACAGTCCCTGAAGTCAGCTGATGAGGCCGTTTGGCTGCACCCATCCTCTCTGCTCTGTGTGCAGGCACTCGCCATTGCTCTTTGGTTGCCCACATCCTCCCCCCTCCCTCTCTTTGTTTTTCAGTTTCTCCTGCTCTTTTGCTCTTCTACAAGTGTGAAGACACAGTCTGTGGGTGTGGATGGTGTGATGTGGCTGCAGATCAGCCTTTTGAGCATGAAAAGATATGCTAAGTGTGCAACTCAGGGTGAAATGTGTGTGAAGTCCTTATGTAATGCGTGACTTTAACAGTTTCCAGTCTGAGATCTTACCAGGCAGATTCCGGTTAAAACTTGTGTGTGTGTGTATGTGTGTGTATGTGTGTGTGTGTGTGTATATGTATATATGTGTGTTATATATATATATATATATATATATATATATATATATATATATATATATATATAACTTGTTTATTAGGCACATGTGATCTTCTGTGTATTAGTTCTCACGGTTGCTTTTCTTCCTTACCAGACTCCAGACTCGTGGTCCGATAAATCCCAGAGCAGGAGAGGTAGCAGCAGCCATAAACGATCGGCATCATGGGGCAGCGCTGAGCATCTGCGAGAGGTCAATCCCTGCCTTTATTGCTCAACATGTGTGTTTGTAACAACTAGGCTTGCTAAACTGGACTTGTGTTTGTATCGAGACGGAAAGCTCTTGAAAAGGGCCTGACTCAATTATTTGGACAGCATTGAGCAACAGGAGAGCAAATTACCTCATCTGCCAAGAAACTTCCACTTTTCACAAGAGCTTCCTCCTCATTATATCTTTAATCTGTACCACCCAATAATCAGATCATCCCTACTAAAAGTGTTTGAAGGGACCTTGTTGGCGTGTGTGTGTGTGATATTTCTAAGTCTAAAGGATTTCCTCTGTGTTTGTGTGTGCAGGCTGATTGACTGACAGTGACTGACAATAACCCCTGTTTATTGCAGATTGCTAAACTAAAACAGCAGCTGCAGCAACGCAGCAAGCCTTCAGTCTCAGGGGGGCACGACAAAGACCGCCAGCGTGACTATCCTCAGGGGAGCTGCAGCCTAGGAACTACTCAGGTACCTTAGCATCATCATACCACTTACCTCACACATATGCGGGTGTGCTTTTACACTTTGTACAGACAAAAAGAGCAGATCATCAGGGCAACATGTCTGGCTCCAGAAAAGTTTCACAGATTACTTACATCAAAGCAAGTTACACAGTGCAGCTCATCGCAGGAAGTAAATTAAATAAAACAGAAGCAACAGGAAGACCACTGCATCATGTCGCTTCTGCTTTTCAGAACTACATTTGTTGTTCTGCTTTTCAGCACAGCTGGTCTGCACTATCTTGGTGCTGCACTCCACTGGGAGGAGGCAGTTTCACATCAGAGTGTGGTGATATGACAAACCCACAAGACCTGATTTTATACCTGAAAGTGTTAATATAATTTTAATCAGGGCCAGCACATGTTCCAATTTGGATACAGTATGAAACCTGGTGAATTACAGTGCTTCAATAACTGCATACGAGTGGCTCACATTTTGTTTTAGTACTAACAACTATGAACTCCTCATACAAAGAATGTAGCTCAAAGTGCTTCACAATAAGAGGAAACAAAACCTAAAGTGTCTGATCAGTGTGACTTATAATGCAGCCTTAATTCTATGTAACTTGTTTTCGTGTCCTCAGACTCAGCCAATTCCCATCCCCCTTGCTCCCCTGTCTACACTGGTCCCTCGACTGCGCTGCAGTGTGGAGGGCCTCAACCAGGAGCTGGAAGGCATGTTCATCTGCCAGCCACCGCATCCTCCGCACAGGGTAACTCACCTTGCCCTCACACAGCATACATTGCCTATAAAGAAAGGAAGGCGTTTTTTTTCTTTCTTTTTTTTCAAGATTCCTGCGAAGTAGCACTTAATATAAGTGGTGGCTGACATTAATTACACAAGATAAATTTTTTTTTTTCCTGTCTTGACAGCTCCTCGAGGTTCCAGACGGTCACCGGGCTCCAGTCCCTCCACAGAGCTGCAGCAGTGGATCCCAGAGTGACCCCGCCACCACACCCTTGTCCTCATCGTCTCCCCCCTCCTCACCCAGCTCCCCTCTCACCTACATCTCCACATCCCCACCCAACTCTGAAGATGCACCTCTGGATCTGCCCCAAGGTCTGTTTCTAAGTAGAAAGTATAGAATCACTGCATCCAAATGTTGTGAGGGTTTTCTGTAGAGTTTAGTCCACAATGTCTTTCTAGAGTTTAGACAGAGTTTATAAAGGTGCTTTGTGACTGAACCTTTAACTGGAGGTCTGAGTAAATCATTAAACCTGGAACTTCCAGGTTGCTACAATCATGTACTGGTTTGTTCTGGTTTTAAGCCACATCTCAATACATAGCTTAAAAAAGTTTGAGTAGTATAACTGGAAGCTTACCAGAAAACAAAAGGGAAAGCAATCTGCTGTGTCACGTTCACACCTGCTACAGCCCCTGAAGACAAAGCCTAAAATCAAACCCCCCCCGTCCCCGTCCCCGTCACGCCGGCAAACGTTTTATATATGAAACAGAACTGACACTTTGATGTGACACAAACAAATATATTTACCGTTTTAATGTTTCCAGATGTTTGATATCGGGACGTTGAGCTGAGAACTGACGAGTTGAACGTTGTCCAATTAAAACGGACCCACCGTGGTGACGTTTTTGGTGGAGCTGTTAGTTTAATAGTCGACTTGGAAGAAAGCGAACGTTTTGACAATAAGCTACATCAACACGTCAGTATGTGGAGTTAAACTGGACAGCCCCAATAACCTCTGAATAGTTCTACTTGTTGTTAAATTGCATTGTGAGCGGCAGCCAACGGGGGTGCATTATGTCGGCAGGATCATTTAAAAGGCAACCGTGACTACATTGTGCGTCTGCCCCATTTCTGATACCGTGGCGGCAGAAATTTAACAGCGACGGGCCGCCGCTCCAAAATCAACATAGAGGAAACACTGGTTAAACATCATGATACGCTCATTCTCGCACCTAATTACGAGATAATATTTCAGTTTGCAGTAGCAGTGCAAGTTCCACGCTGGAAAATGTTTCCAAGCCCCGGCCATATAGTAGCACATTAATAAAGGTTTATTTTGTCTTCGGGTCTATGGTGTCTTACGAGGAAATTACGGTACTTTTTAGTTTTCCTTTATGCAACTCAGTCACACTTTCAGACCCATAAGTTTCCAAAATAAGACGCAAATTTTCCGAGGTGTGTATATATTTTCTTCAAAGAGACCTCACATGCCAGAATTAGAATATCTGTATTAACATTGACAAAAATAGCAGATGCTGCACTGTATCATCTACCAGACATTTACCTTCGTTTTGTTTTGTACAATTTTTGTAAATTAAGGTCACTCTTAGGAAAAAAAACGCTTTTTCTTTTTCCTCTGTGGAGACGTAACTTTGTACTAGTAAAGTCTCTTTCTGTGCACACTTCACTCTTTCACAAGTTGACAAAAAGGAATATAACCTTAATAACAGGTTACCAAATACAATATACCTCGTGCTGCTGGTCGTCTGTCTAACCGCACTGACCTAAATTAAAAGGACGACATTTTATTTTCATGTGATGCACTGACTGCAATCACACTTGCTTAAGAGCAAAGAGGAGCGCTTTTGTTGCTTACTAAGTAAACAAACTGAAAAGAGTGTGTGTGTGTCCATTTTAAATACTGACTGTATTACATGACTAAATTTGATGTTTTTATTATCATTTAGTTATTTTTAGAGTGATGCCTAAGCACATAATTCATGATTTTAATGCTCAGAAACTTCAGTTTAAGTTATTATATATATAAAAATTTTTAAGTGTAACTAACTAACTAAATAAGTAATGTGCACACATTCAAAGCTTGTTTTAAATTTTTAAATAACTGTCCTCTAAAGTTTTGCATATAGAATCTTTCATGATATTGACATATTTTTTTCCCTTCCTGTTTTCAGGTTTGATAGACGGTGCAGAGATAGGCCTGCTGTCTCCGTTCCCCTCCCAGAATGAGGCTGACCTCTCCATGCCTTTGCTGATGTCCTCCTCCCCGGGACCCAACAAAAGTTGCTGCTTCCAGAGAGAGCCCCCAGAGGGCTGCGAAAAGGTCCGAGTCTGGGAGGAAACGAGGTACGTTTGTTATGCGCCTGAACAGAATTGACAAAATTATTAATTATTAATGGTGCTATCCATTTGTCTCGTAAAACCCCCGCCCAAGTTGCTCTGCCGCGAGAATGTGACGTAATTGCCTGGCTTGTACCACCATAGCGTTCCATTTGTCTTTGGGCATCACGAGTCGGAAAGAACATGGACGCCACCAGGGCAGCAGCTGTCTTGTTATTGCTTGTGGCTCATCTAAACAAGCTCAATGTGAAATAATGTGTGTTTCTACAGAAACATTAACATCTCAAGTAATTCCGTTATTGCAAGTCTTACATTTCAATAATATTTTGCCATTTTCGCCTATTTCAATTTCAACAAGTGCTGTGGCGTTTGTCTCGAGCCACCAGGGGCCACCAGGGGCCTCCAGGAGCCACCAGGGGCCTCCAGGGGCAGGCTAGTGTTATTGTTAGCTACATTAGCCTATTTAGCAAACCAGCTCGAAAACAAAACTTTACATTGTATTGCAACGTAGTACAAATAGAAAGAAAATACTTATCAATATGGACGCTGCCATCTTTGTTTTGCGGGTCGTACGTTCGTCCTCGTTTAGCTCCGTGTACTGTGAGGTACCCCGAGCTGGACGGCTGAAATTACAACCAAAAGGGGGTGTGTCTCGGTGAAATGTTGCGAGATAGCTGCGAGATTTACACTTTCCAGCTCTGGCTGGGGGTTTACGAGACAAATGGATAGCACCATAAGAGAACAACACTCAACGGGCTCGAGGTGGACAGTTCACATTTAAAAAGTCAATCATGAAAACCAGCAGCAGAACCAGAGATATCCTTTTTTAAAATTCCATTCACTCTTCTTCCTTGTCTTAACCTTGTGCCTATCTTACCCACAATGCAGCTTGGCCACTGACAGTTCGTAGATTCGGGCCACAAAGGGCTTTATACAACTTCTTTTCTCACTTCAGAGTGGAGTTCCCCTTTAACTAGAGGAGATACCCAGTCTATTATTTAATTGAGTTCTTGCACTCAGAAATATCTGATAGGCTCTAATGAAGTGAATTGGACAAATGAAGTGTATCAATTCAAAGTGAGTTAGTGTGTGGATGCCCTCTGGTGGTGATTTCAGGGTGTCCTTTTACAATGACAAAGTATTTTAAATGATAATATATGTAGACATACTAGAACAGGTTTGGTTAAGATGAGGCATTTATACCATTATTTTGGATCTATTCTTCAAACTGTTGAATTGTTTTGGTTAAGTCAAAAATTAAACTTGCAAATGAAATTCCAGTGTGATAATTCTTACTACAGTTGCAATGAACTACTTGTTGATATAATTTTACCTTTTTCCTGAGAGGGTAACTTGTAATATCTTGGAGTCTTGGGTAGAATAAAGCCTGGCACATGAGTGACTTGTGGGTTCTCTTCGTGAGGAGTGACTATTTTTAGTTCATTTGTAAGGGACACTTATACTTATCATGACATAACTCATTTCATGTGATGAACATCTGTGTGTATGCATGTAACCAAACCTAATTTCTGCCATTTACACTTTGACATGTTTTAGTTATGTCATTAGTTTCTCACAGCCCATTCTCCTCTCATTCTCTAGCACTCCACACCAACTCAAGCCAACCCTCATCTCCTCCTGCCCAGACCCTAACAAGGTAAACTTCACCCCCCATGGGGGCTCTGCCTTCTGCCCCGTCAGCCTCCTCAAGCCCCTGCTCCCCTCCATGGACCTGTTGTTCTGCAGCCTCGCCGTCTCTCCAGCAGGCACTTGCTCGAGCCAGGGAACGGGCTCCTGCCAGGCAACGTCCTCTGGCAACCGGGCCGCTCCTCCGGATCCTCCTGCCGCTGCCACTGTTATGGGAGAAAGCTCGGGGGAGGGCCTTGCTTTCTGATCGCAGCTCCAGATCATTTTCTGTGGAAAATGCATGATGCAAATATTTCGGCGGTCTGTGACAGATTTGTTGAATTTACTTTATCTTAGGGAAAGCTCATTCCTTTTCTATACATGTTTAAAATAATCTTATGTTGAAAAATAATAATATTGGGGGGGAAAAAAATGAGTTATTGTACGCAATCCAATGGATATGCTTCATGAGCTATTTGTTTTGGGTTTCTGGGCATTTTGACATTTCTAAATTAAGGCCAATTTTGGTTCTTTCATTTCATAATCCAAAGATATATTTTTGGCCAAACACGGTGGGGCAGTCTTATGGCATGACTTATCACTATTTCTACTCTTAACTCTATCTGATATGGGATTTGTTGGATGACTGACCCCGCCCCCCCCACTCGCTGCACATTTATTTTTCTGTTTCCCCAAAGAAGCCATGACATACACTTACTTACACGCCGACTACGATACTGGTTTCAAACTCTGACTGCAGTGCGTCATCTCTGTCCAAAATGTTAAGAGTCTAGGTCAAGTAAGAAGAACCATTCTCGGATAAGTTTGTTTTTAAGTATTCAAAGATATTTATCTGCAATTCATCTTTAAATGTTTTACCTAACTTGACCTTGCACCTGTTTCTGGTGTACAAAGCACGACAAATCAGTTGGGTACTTTTTTTTTTATTTCTATATATATATATATATATATATATATATATATATATATATATATATATATATATATATATATATATATATATATATATATATATATATATATATATATATAAATAAATAAAAAAAACAACTCAATGAAATCACATTTTGATTATTGTAGACTGAAGGGAATTTTCCAGTTGTTGGACTTGGGTAGCATCATTACCTAAAGGGCTTCAGCTCACGCATTCCTGCTTTAAAAATTGTACAGATGTTATTTTTGTCGTTCTCTTGTTTACTTGCAAAAAAAATGTAACTTGTGCACGTCTTTAATGTATATTCCTTGATGTTCTAGATGTGTGCTTGATGGTATGTTTATAGTTTCAAGGTTTCACAGCCTAGTTGACTACCTAACCAGTTTTAGTGGTGTAGATTTGTCCTCAGTGTTTATTTTTTCTTCTGCCAAGCTGACAAGTTGATGTTCAAATAGTTTTATTTCTGGTAGACATGTTTGCACAAATTGAACTGCTACTTTTGAGTCGCATTTCTTATTTTTATATTCACTTTTGTACTTTAAGAGTAGTAATGTGTATTTTCTACATCCTTTTTCAATTACCCGCAACATAAGCTAAAAAAAACCCTGTTACTTTTAGTTTTGTTCTGTCAGTATAATTGAGGCAGGTGTTATATGAGATACTGTATCGGGTGGATTTTTATGCACTTCCAGGAGAGGGTTTTTATATGGAGGAGGAGACGTTTCTTCCATACGTTAGTCCTGGGTTTATTGTCTGACAGGAGTTTTGTTTATGTGTGTGCACGTGGATGGAAAGTTAACTAGTCAGATCATTTGACTTACTTCTCCTAGTTTTAGTATCATGGTGAAATACCGATTGATTGAAACATTGTTTTTTTTTCAAAATAAGCTTCAATTTCAATGTTTTTTCACTCTGTGTGGATGCTGTGGGCGTGCTGTTATCTCAGGTTCTGTGTTCTGTCCACATAAATGTATGATTGATAACGTGTTGTCTTTGTGATTTATTAAACTGGTCTTAAGACGTAACTCATAATGCTCTGGTCTGAATGTCTGCAGAGAGTTGTGATACCTGTAATGGGTCTGCTGTGTGTCATTGTGAAATGAGAATATGGGTAAAAAAATATGAATACATATATTAGATCTGCATTTCCTCCCCACATTGTTACATCGACAGAGTGGACGACGTTTGCATTGTTAAACCAAAATTCTTTGCTGATACAATCAATTGTCCATTGGTCAGGTCATCCAGATGTTGATAATACAATTGTGTTGTCCTGGATGAGATATTTAAAGTCTTCACATTTGTCTTTTGTACTTTCTGTATTTCTAAGTTGTTTTGGGGAAAAGTATAAACCTGAAGTCAAATTCAACAGTTAAATCACCTTGTTGGAGTAAAAATGCATGCAAATATTTCGGAAACAGTCAGTTGACTATTTTGATAATTGATTGTTGCATTTTTGCTTGAAAAATGACTCAAATGTTTGCTGGCTCCAGCTTCTCAAACTAAACTGAATATATCTGGGAATCAGCTTGTTGGGTGGACAAAACCAACTGTTTAAATAGCTTATGCCAACTTGATCTCTGGAAGATTATGATTGGTATCCTCACTGTTTTCTGGCATTTTACAAAGTGATTAATGGATTAAGAAAATAAGTTGCAAACTTGATGAACTCTGTTTCCTTCTGGCATTGTTCCATTTATGTTATTAGCACTTTGAATTGTGCCGTTACAACAATTTATAGCTATAAGAGCTGTCATTTTCCTTTGACAATACTCTTCAGTTATTTGAAAAAGGAGAAACCTTGAACAATTCAAATGAATCAGGTTTGTCCTGATGGAGCTGAAATGCTTTACTTATAAATAGTGGCTGGGCAGTCTTTATCTTTCTCTCACATATCAGATTGCATTATAACTTTCCCCTTGAAACACATTTGTTTAAAAGCATTCAAATATGACAAAAAGTCAAACATTTTAAAATACAGAAACTGTGATGTCAGTGTTCCTTTCTCTGGATCATGAAGATGTGAGGGGGATCTTTAAACCTTGTTGCCCCGCACATGATATAAACGATAAGCAGGGTCCACTCATACAGCTGTTGTCGTTGCATTGTGGGATTGGCTGACGGTAAAGGAGGCGGTGGTTAGTTTACTGTACGTCCAGGAAACAGCACGAGATCCTCCGCAGAGAAGCGCGCATTTTTTGCCGGCAGATATTCGCTTTAAGGGGCTCCGTCAGCGGGAGAATTGTCCGCCATGCCGTCCATGTTGGGGGTCGTCGCCAAACAGCTCAAGAGCCATCCAGCTGTAAGTCCTGAACCCTGTATTTTTTCTTTTTTTTTTGGAAATAGAAAAACCTGAACGACCCGGTGACATTGAAAGCGCTGGGAGGACGCAGTGTGGTTTAGCGCTTCCGTTACACCCAAATTCCTATCTTAATTAGGCCTATCGGATTTATTATTATTATTATTTATTTGTATTAATTGAGCTTTCATCAATTAATGAAACGTTTGAGATATTTTACAATATACATTTAATATAAGTCTATGACAGAAATGTCTAAATTCCTCGACAGTTACCACAAATGTATGATGAAATGGACAATAAAGACACCAATAAATCCACATTATAGTCCACCTTTATCTTCTTCCTAGTCCTTCCTCTCTCATCACTATATTCCTGTTACTACCCTTCCTTCTGCTGAGGCTTATATATTTTTTTGCTCTGGCACCCTCTCATCTAAATGACAGGATTATTCTTTTCCGCGTTTCTTTGGCAGCAGTAAAAATGAAAGCACCTGCCCCGATGCTGCAGGATACATTAAATGAAGCACTAAGAGCCACTATTGTAATTTGATCTTTTAAAGGGTGAAGTCTCCGCTATGATGGGGGACATAGCGTTGCCCTGTAATGGGTACACAGCCAGCCATGTACGTGTGTCTCTGCAGCACGTACAGCACAGTATGGTCTCCATACTGGCATGACTCAAGGCCAAAGCAATGCAAGAGTGTGTTTATCAAGGACGGCGGGGGGATACAGTTTGCTTTACGGCAGCCTCCATATTAATAGATCAGTATGGGCCTTAATAACCGGTGCTTTCCTTTAGATTAATCATGTTTATGATTAAATTATAAGGTTATGATACAGTATAGGATTATTTTATGTAGTCTACACTCATATGCTGAACACTGTGCACTGCAATGTTGCTGCTGGACTAGAATAAAACAGAGGTTCCCAACCTTGGGCCTGGGGCCCCAACAAGGGGTCACAAGACAAATGAAGAGAAAGGAAAGGAGAGGAATATGATGCAGTTATTCGTATCTTCTTTTGTATTTTCCAGTAAATCTTTGCTTTCTTTCTTGTGAATTACTGGATAAAACTAATGCACATGTTGTGAGTAGAAAGTCCTTTTTAACGGGTCTCAAGACAGAAAGGTTGAGCACCACTGGAGTATGGAATAGTAATGTATATTTGTCGTTGGTTTTCTCATTTTAGTATTGCAAATTATGTTATAATTGGTGTGAAACCGACGTTGTTATTCATTTATCTTGCTCTTTACCCACTAGCTGATCCCCCTCTTCATCTTCATCGGTGGTGGGGCAACCATGAGCATGATGTACCTGGCTCGGCTGGCTCTGAAAAACCCAGACGTCTCGTAAGTCTCTATAACGAGAGAGAAAGAAAGTATAAATTGGATTTAACTTTGCTTTCTTCAGTGTGTGTGTTTAAGTTTCATCAGAATACCCTGATAACGTCACATTAAAGACTTTTATTTGCTTGCCCTCAGATGGGATCGTAAGAACAACCCCGAGCCCTGGAACAACCTGCAGCCGGACCATCAGTACAAAGTATGAGCCTTTGTGTACATTTTGTCCAAATAACATCTGACGCACATTGATCATTTACTGTCATCTTTTGTATATCTATATGTGGCTTTATTGGTTAGATTCAAACCGAAAGCATATTTTCTGTGGACAACCATAACTCTTCTGTTATCTTGTCTCAAAGTCCATATAGCTCATACTGATTGTGTACATTTGTTTGTTTGTCTGTGTGTACTTCCAGCTTTTCACAGTTAACATGGACTACTCCAAGATGAAGAAGGACAGGCCTGATTTCTAAGCCGAGATGTCTTCGCACCTCTATCTCCGACATTATTGTCAGTGTGATGAGCCTTTGCACTTTTTTCCACATACAACACAAACCTGAAGCGAGGGTTGTGCTGCACTCATTCAGTTGGTTAATTTCCAGTGTGAAGGGGATCATCCACTTATCAATGACTGTATGAATAAAACAGACAACCACCTGTTTTACTAAATGATGAATTTATTTTTGTTGTAAATTATTAAAATCATTTAAATCACACTTCTCATTTGCATGTTTATTTATTTTGCACAGGGTTGAAGATTTCATATTAGTATTTGTTTGGTGGTAGGGTAACGATTGACTAGCAAGAAAACTTAAAATTCTAAATCTTTATTTAAATTATATGGTTGCTGTCGCCACCTGACATTTGGGTTGAACACAATAAGGGAAAACTGGTAACAAAAATGTGTTTGAAGTCGATTGAATTTGGGACATTTTGTTGTCAACACAACATCAATGAATCTACTTTAATATACTTCTACTTAATTAACTATCTACATTAATATATAACTTCACAATGAATTTAAACAACATAATCCACCAAAGTATAACTGGTGCTGTAGTTGTTGAATGCTGATGAGTCTTTTATTTTGATAAAAAGAGGAAAGTTATAACATTTGATTAGCCAGTACAGTAGTAAATTACTCATTCAGGTTTCCACAGAAACCCCCCAGTAATACGTTTAAGCCCATTTTAAGAAATTACTGTGAGCAATGAGCTCTTAACTCAGTCATTTCCTGTCACGTATTGAGGTTTGCTTTCAGTCTGTGGAGAATACAGCTATTGTGGAGAACAGCGCCTGATAACTGCAGCTGCTTTGATTTCATGAGGTTATTATAGTCCATGTTAGTGACGCATCAGCAGGTCAGGAGAAGTGATCACCACCGACTGACTGTTTTTTATATTTTCTATCATTAAACACTGGCAACATTAGGAAACATCTCTCCTTAACCACATAACAAATGTATTCTTCACCTTGTGACACCCAGATAAAACACCACTTACCACTTGACAGGGACACCTTCAATATACTGACAAATATCTCTCTCTCTATAAATATATGTATATATATATGTGTGTGTGTGTGTGTCTGTGTATATATATATATATATATATATATATATATATAGTTTACATTTTATTTATGCAGCAACACATTTTGGTGACACCATTCTTTCAAAGACAACCACTCTGTGTTAGTATTTAACCTTTGTTTGTATATTTTTTGTTTGTCTATTTGTCTGTTTCTTGGTTTTTTACTTTGGGTGCATCAGTTTCCTTTACAGTAGCTGTAGTTGTTATTCATTTTCTGACCAGCAGAGAGTGCTGTTACACTAACCACTGGAAAAATATTCTAGTCATAGACTGTTATATTTAAAAATGATCCTGCAGGGACATTATGTCACAAGAGATGGGGAAAATAAATATTTAAGTTGGGTAAATTTTATAAACACAAATAAAAAAGGGTAAGAAAAAGTATTGTGGCTTTCAAAATGTGGATAATCACACCGTGATCAAACGTGAATCATTTAAAAACCTTAAAAATGAAAAGGCTATAACTCTGTTTGCCTTAAACTAAAGTGTTTTCATTGAGTCTTGTGTTACATGTTACTGTATTTGTATTTGTCCAAGAAGAAACTGGTGATCGATTCATCCGCAACAACGAGGTTGATAAGTGATTTTAAAATATTTATGTATATATATATATATATATATATATATATATATATATATATATATATATATATATATATATATAAAATATGTTATTATTTTAATATTTTCACAAAACACCGAACTTGCTTCCCCCTAGGTTCTTCAATTGGTGGCGATGCTACCATATATCTAAAACAGAAGAAGAAGATCTGTCTTCTCGCGATATTTCACTTAAAATTAACGCGGGACCGTGTGAGACATGAATCCGTTGAAACCACGTCCACGGGTGAGAAAGGTAGCGTTAGAAAGTCAACAGAGGGTATATGATGGCTCGATTTCATCAAACGTGTAATAAATAAACCTGTACGCAGTTTAGCTTCGTTTGTTGAAGTCGGTGTTATTCGTTCACTGTACTGTTTACCAAACGTTTGCTAGCTAACATCCGCTAATCAGCTGACTGAGCTCGGTTTCTAAATGGACCCGACGGAGGACTTGTCTGCTCGGGTCTTGCTGAAACATATTCTCAGCACCGACCCACCCAGGTCTCCCATCACCCGCAGGTAACTTACTTTTATCTGTGTTGTTCTTCTGGGAAAGAACTCAAATGCTAACGTTGCTCATCCTTGATCTGCCTAAGTAAGCTTTAAGTTGGATGCTTGAACGTATAACTTGAATTAAACCGAGTAAAACTGTGGAAAAAAAACACACTGTGAGTATATAAGTTTACACTTAGGATGTACCAAGTTGCCATAGAAATGCTTGACTTTCAGACAAATGGGTCTCAGTGTTATCCAGTGCTGAACTAAGTTTGTGCTGTGTTGTCTTTAGTTCCTCCAAAGCCCAGAGTGCCAGTGCAAGCAGGCGCAGCAGCAGACTGAGTAACAAAGATGCTGGTGCCCAAACCCCACAGGGCCTCCTAAGGCGCAGCCTGAAACATAAAATACGTGAGGTGAGGAAGATGAGCAGATCTCATGCTGATGATGGGCAAGTTGTTCAGTCTCCTAAAGCTGACCTATCTACCTTCTCTCCAGAGTATAACCAGGAAATCCCTGCCTGCTACTAAAAGGAGGACCGCCTCAGTTGTGCTCAGAAAGACAAACACGCCTGCTCCATCCTCGATGCTGTTTGACGATGGAGACACGCCGAGGCACATACTCATGAACATCCTGCGGACCGGTATGTGCATGGCCTTTAATCGTGCATCATGTTGTCACTGTTTGCTCTTAACCATGTCATTTACCATGTGATTCAGAGCCTGTGAGGTCCCCAGTGGTTCATGAGAAAGCTGCCTCAGAAGAGCCACAGCCGTCTTCTGCCAACTCCAGTATTACCAGCAAGCGTCCAAGGTGAGCTGTGTGTAACCGGTATTTGAGATCCAACACTATTTTAAATAATTGCACTAATGTTGTTATGAGGAATTGACATTTTATATAATAAGGAACTGGCTAAGTTCTGTAGTGTGTGTGTGTGTGTGTGTATATATAACAGGTTTATATTTGCTTTACTTCTAGTATCGAACTGTCAGGGTTCGACTTGCCTGATATAACTATTGGCAACGCAGCAAGTACGGCGAAGGGACTGAGCAGAAAGAGACCACGTCGGAGCCTTAATGTAACAGCTTTTGAAAAGCGTCTTAAAGATGGAGATGGTGAGGTTAAAGCCACTAACAACAGGCTTCAGTGCTTTAATGGGACTTTGTTACATCTTAAGGATGTTTTGTAAATTCATACATTTGAAGCTGTATCAGGGAACAGTTATCATGTATGTTTTATTGACCAGCTAATGGATGATTGTGCTTACAGGTGTTGAAGAGGAAAATGAGGAATCAGTAGGGGACCATTCATCACTTTCTTTGTCAAGGTAAGTTGCATAAATGTAAAAGGGGGACTCTGATGTTGGCAGCACTAAAACAATGTTAATGAGTGAGTAGTTAACTATATGACCTGTCCAATTTGTCCCGTTTTGCAGTTCTACCTCTCTGAGTCTAAAAACACCCTTTGTGGATGTTCGGACAGAGAAAAAGGGCCTGCAGAGAAGAGCATCAAACCGTCGGATAATCTCAGAGGAAGAATTTGGAGCTGCTGTGAATAAAAGGCAGATGGGAGGTGATTATGATGATTAAAGTACTCTTCATAACCTACCAAAGTATTCCTTTGTGTACCATGTTTGATCATGTGTGTAACAAGTTGATGAGAGCACAGCTTATTCATTTATTTATTAAGTCTTTATAATAATCATTCAGATTCTATATTTTTTTTAATTGATTTGATTCATTGAATAATTAATTCATTGACTAATAGTTTCAACACCAGGCTGTTGTAAGCGTACATGTTGCCATCCCTGTATTCTGACTTATGTATCTTTTTTTAAGTGTACATTTCAAATTCCAGCCTAGCTACATGACCGGCAGGTGGAAGTAAGCAGATATAGCTGTTACTTTTTAGAAGGGAGGAGCAAATAGTGTAGTATGTATGAATATAATTTAAAGTAATCTGCCACTGCTGTCCTCACTATTGTTGCTGATGCTAATTTTTTCCTTCATGGTTTTCTCACTCCCTTCCTGTCACCCAGGACCGAGCAGCTTTGCGCAGATGGAGTGTCTCAATGAGACCACCTTCTCTGAGGGCTTCACTTTGGGCCTAAGCAAACTCAGTGAACCTGATATCACAACTGATATCCTCCACTGTAACACGGCTCTCTACGCCCAGCCCGATGCCATGACCTCCAACTTTTCCATTGTTGCGACTCAGGACAAGCCCACGGTGATGGCGTCTCAGCTTCAGAGGCAGATGATAGAGGAGGAGGAGGAGCAGACGGAAGCGGAGCAGAGCAAGCCGGAGAAGGAGAAATCAATGTATCTGTTTCCAACTGAAGAGGGAGTTGTGGCAGAACCTCAGAATGAAGAATGTTTTTCTCAGTCCGTGGATAATGGGACAGCAGATGTTCAACCTGAAGATCCTGAAGAAGCAGCAGCCATGTCGAAAGTCATGTCTGAGGAGGAGGAGGAGGAGGGGGGAAGAGGAGGAGAATCGAGTGGAAGCTGAAACAGAAGAGGAAGACTATCAAAACGAAGAAAAAGAAGGCGCAGTTGACTCTCAAACTGAAGAAGATATAGAAGAGGGTGGAGTTGATTCCCAGCCTGAGGAGGATGTTGCAGCCAGGTCTCAGTCTGAAGACGAGGAGGTTGCGGCTGACTCTCAGATGGAAGAAGATGTTGAAGAAGGTGCAGTGGACTCTCAGATTGAAGAAGAAGGTGCTGCTGATTCTCAGTTTGAGGAGGATGTGGCTGAATATCAAGATGATCCTGCAGCCAGTTCACAGTCTGAAGAAGAAGATGGTGGTTTGGCTGATTCTCAACCTGAAGATGAGCATGATGGAGAGCTGAGGGAAGATGACGAACCGCCATCGGAACAGCTGCAATGTGACTTAGAACACATCAGTCGAAGGGCTCATCTCTCGGGGGATGGAGTCGTGCCTGTAACAGAAGCAGGCAGGGATTTAGCAGATACCACAGATGCAGGTAAGGAAGTCAAAGTATCACTTACTGTGGATATAAGGGCTGTAACTAACAACTCTTTTTTATTATTATTATTATTTATTATTGATAAATTAATCAACTTTTTAGATTGTCTATAAGATTTAAAAAATGTTGGAAAAGTGAAAACTATAGGTTCCCAGATCCTGATTTGATTCACAATGATGTGAAACAGAGAAGCTGGAACCAGCAAATGTTTGGCATTTTGACTTAATAAACAACTTGAACAAGTAATAGAATTTCTGATGATAACTAATCATTTAAGTAATAGTATGGATAATACTGTTTTTATTATCAGCCTTTAAAAGAGAACGACTATATCACTATTGCAATGGGTAATGAAGTGAAATGAAAGACATAAACTAAAAGCTAAGATGATAATTACATGTTAAAAATATTTCCTGTCTCTAGATAAACTGTCAGAAACAAGAACTTTCACATGTGTGTTGTTGTTGTTTGCATCTAGCGTGGTCTGATGGCAAGTCCAAAGCACTCAGTGCTATTGAGTCCTCAACCAAAGGACAAATGGGTGCCTTTTACACAGAGGCCGAGCCCAAGTCGGATAAAGAGGGCTCCTTTCATCTATCAATTGATGACCTGAGTGACAATTCACCTGAAGAAGCTGCTGCTCAGGACCCTGCTGAACAGGAGGAGGAGTGGGAGGATGAAGAAAATGAAGAAAATGAAGAGAGTGAAGGTCAGTCTCTTCATGTGTGTGTGGGGGGTTTTTATTTTGAAAAAAATTAGAATAAGATTAAAACGTGTTTATGTTTTTATAAAATCTTCAGAGGTCCCAAGCAAGACTCCAGCATTTGTCCGAGAGAAAAGGAACATGTTTCATCCTGATCCTCTGGCCTCACCTTCTGTTCTTAAGAATGTTCAAACCAGGCAAGTTGCACTTCCTGCTACACCGAAACGTCTCATCTAGTCCCGATTCCGATCATCTTTAATGTTACTGACAAGTTCTTTCTTGCTACCAGCAGTACAAGTGAAAGTTTGCCTGCAGCTAAACCTAAGCAGGTGAGAAAAGTGAGGACAGGGCCAGCTAAGAAGCAAACAGGCCTTCCTAAGAGCTACCTTATGGGCGTGTTTAAGCACTTCGCCAAAACAAAGGTCTCTGCAGACGTTTACCCTGTCCTCAAAGAAACGTAAGTAACTATGACTGTAGAGGTTTTGAGTACATAGTGGATTGCCTTATTATGTTTTGCACTGTAATATGATTGATGGCTTTTTATTAGCTGTACTGTATACACTTGCTTCATTGTAATTCACTTTCTTTACCAGAATGGATAAATTCTTTGAGCGGATGGCAGAGGACTTGGAGACGTATGCCGTTCACGCAAAGAGAAAAACCATAGAGGTTGAAGATGCTGAACTTCTGTTGAGAAGGTAAGTGTGTGTGTGAGTGAGCGTGTATTAATGGCTTTTTGTTATAATGTTTTTTATGTGACAAACTCTTAAAAAAAAAAAAAAAAACCTTTAAAAAGTCTTAGATCATGAAATAAAATGAATGCTAGTTAACTGTGTGTCTCCTGCACGCAACATTTGGCTGTTTCAGTGTAAATCACTTTCAGTTGTATGTTATTTTCTTCATACGGGGCTTTGAGTTGCAACTTGTCTTTTAGGGTTGAAATCAATCAACTTCACAAACCTCAAAACGGCATCAAGAGTGTCAGACATAGTATGCAGACAGGCAAAAAGCACTGATACACTAGGATTATACTGCCCTCTAGATGGCAAGCTTGAGCTCCATATTCAGTGTGAGGAAAAGCAAAGGTGACTCTGACATGAGCAGTAAGCATAAGAAAGGAAAGGAATTCTAAAATGTCCCTATAATATACAACATCCATCTATGAGAGCACACTTCTTACTAACTGTGCACAAAAACGGCTGACATATCTTACATTTAACTCAACTGGTGTGTTTTTGGACTCTGCAGGCAGGGCTACGTGAATGATAAGGTGCCGGTGGAAGTGCTTATTGAAAAATATCTTCGTATGGACCAGCGCAAGCTCCTGATCCCCATTGCAACCAGTGGAAATGTCGTCATCCCTAAAAAGCGGAGATGAGTGTCTTATTTACGGCTACATTTTGTTTTATCTGGTTTCATTTTGGGGGAATTTTAGTTGTAATGCATTTGATTTGGACAACTGATATCTCCTTTTTAATCAGAATATAAAGGTTATCTGTGAATGTGTAAATATTTGTCAACATACTCTTTACTAAGACTTCAGTTTTGTATGTCATGTCTGTTTAACTTTTTATCTGTATTATTATACTGTGGGGTCAAGTCTGAGTGGTGAAATAAAGTTATCTGATTCATTTCTTGATTAGTAGCCTTTAATTGTAGTATTTCCATTATTCCAGTGACTTTGTTGACCCATGTGAGGAAATAAGTCAAAGACCATTTGTCCTCTGTATGAAAACAAATAAGAGTTTTGGTAAAAGCTGGGCTAGTGTGTATTTTTTTTTTAGTGTATATGAGAAAAGAGCAACATTTTTTGCAGAGGGATTTGAGAAGGAAGTCCAGCAGAGGTCATACTGTCCTGTGCTGCAAATTCATGATGACTTATCCGTATCACATGAAGTCGGACTGGTGCAAACAAATTATTTTGCTGACGTAAATGGAAGAACTCTAATCCTCAACTCTTGAAGTTTGTTCATACAGTTTATTGTCCTTAGAAAGACATTAGGTCTTAAACATTAGAGGTTAAAGATGTATTAAAGACACATTCAAGGTGAGCGGATGAATCCAGAGATTAATTCTGTCTACATTTTAATTAAATTCAACCTTTAACAGTTGATATCCGTTAATCTTGGCAAGCTGTGTTAATAATCTTGGCACAAGGCAATAGCTCATCCAGCCCGCTGATTGAATTAAGATAAATTACTTTTCAGTGCTTGTAAAATTAAACACCGGCCCCAGCCTCCATGTAAATGAACTATAGACATAACAGAGCTCAAATTAGTTATTCATTTAACCTCTTATTAACAGGCAATAAAGAGAAAGTAGACAGAAAGAAAGAAAAATATATATTATAGTTAATCTACTCTAAATCACAGTACCGGGTTAATTGTTTTTATTTATTCATGGCTTGTGAATTTACTCCGAGACAGCAGGGGGCGCTCTCTGCGAGACCGTCCGGGTCTGCCACTTCTACAGACAGCTAGCCTGCTAGCAAACAACAACAGAAGATCCCGGACAACTAGCGGTATAATTCAACCTATCACAAAGGTAAGTCCATCGATAAGTGAAGAATAAAGCAGTATTATACGGACTGAAGAGTTAAAACCACACGATGGAGGCGGTTGTGTCGCATTTCAGCCGCAGTTTTTGTGGTAATGTGCCCGACCTTTTTTTGTTTGGCTTAGGTTAGCCGCTACATTAACAGCGCTAACTAGCCTAGCTCGATCAAATGAGCTAGCGTGCTATCGTCAGATTGTTTGCATTATTTACAGTGTTCATTTACTTTAAACGTTATCGAGCCTCGTCGTAGCTGTACGGCACTTTATTTACTGTATGAGCACGCTGGTTTATACGCGTTGCTGAAGTAAAGAGATGATTTAAAATAAGATACCGTTGTCGGCTGTCTGTATTGTTAGCAGGTTATCTACCTGCTACTGTAACCGCCTACATCTACAGATAAAGGCTTGGCAGGGTAACTTGATAGAAACACGAAGGCTAAGTTTAAAACAGGCTGAAAAGTATATAATATGTTTATGGTTTATACATATATATATGGGGAACAAGATTTATGTCCCGGGCCTCCATTATACGTTGTCATTAGAACAATTTAAGGGACTGATCATTTATAATAGATTCATGTTGTTATGGCTCAGAAACTGGTTTGCTTAACAAATGTCATCTGTAATTGTTTTGGTAGAGAGGGATTAGTTAGATTTATGTGACCATGGAGCAGTTAACAGTGTTATCTTCTCAATATTGCTACATCAGTACATGCACAGTGGTTTGAATGACTCAGGTTCACTGGAAACAGAGCAAACACCACAGCAGTGAGTTCACTAATAATCCCTTCTGACTGTGTCTCTCATGTAACCGTACAGGTGAGGGTCACAATAACATGAACACTGGTATCTTTATGGAGACTGTTCTTGGGGAAAGATCTATTCAACTTTATACATGATGTTTTGGTAATAGTTTGTGGTGTTGTAAGTGATAACATTGTATTGTAAGTGAGATGTGTTGTATTAGTCCTGCTTGTACATAAAAGCAACCAGGAATATCTTTGAGTGGAAAAAAGAGAAACCACTATTGTTCCAGCCTAGATCCTTTAAAATATATTTATAATGTATAACCATGATTTAAAATCTAGCTCAAATGTATCATCGAAGGATATACTGGCAACTGTATTTATTCATTATGATGATTTTGAACTCAAGTGTAACCTTTGAGGCTGTGCTTTGTTGCAGTGCTTGCAATCTTCAGGTTATTTTTTTTTTTTCCTAATATTGGAAGTCAAAGAGCTGCCACACAGCAGATTTAAAATGGTGTTCAATTTAAGTTTTCCCTGAGTCTATCTCTTTGCCTTCCAGATATACTGAGTACACATAACTCAGTTTAGCTGAGCTCACCTTTAGTGTGATGAGCCAAAGTAAAATCCTCCTGCGGTTGTGCTCTCCATTTTTCAAACTCTGTAAGAAAGGAAATGTAATTTGGAAAATGATGAACTACGACTGAAGTCTCAAATCAGTTTTCAGCTCAACCATGCATGTGATACAATCTTTTTTATCATAAAACTGAGTCACAACCTTTGTGTCATTCCCTAGTTGGCAAAGTATTTTAATAGTTCTCCTACTGGAGCTCAAGGATAGATTTATCTATCTTAAGTAGATAAATTGTGCAACAAATAGAATCAGATCAGATACCTAGTCTGTGTTTTTCAGTAGTCATAAGACTTATTTTATCAGCTCTCATGATGACATTAACCGTATCAAGAGGGATCTGGTACTGGCACAAACAATCCAGTGGTTGGGTTGTCTGTTGTAGAGCTGAAATAAGCAACTTGAAAAAACCCAGACAGCATATAAAATTACAAATCGTTAATAAGGATAGTTTGTTGATTTCTGGTGGCTTTTTGTGATATAATGCTGAATGTGTTGGAGGGTATTGTGATGTGAACATTGATCAAATCCAGTTGCACTCTTCTTTAATTACAAACAGTATCGGAAGCCTTTCTCCTGTCATGATGTCTTACACAACAAACAGTTGTGCAACACACGTTGTTGATTAATGATTTTAATTGAAACATCATACAACCCTAGTCTGCAGTGAGACTAGCTTGCTGGCTACTTAAACAATTCCAATAAATTAACCAAATTAAAGAAAAATATTAAGAGCATAGATCCACTGCTCCTCAGCACCCCTGAAACCCCCTTTTTAAAGGTCTAATGACTGGACTACATGAAGTGTTCTGCAGCCTGCAGGAGTGTCTGCCCTTAGAGGTCAACACGTCAAGTGCAGCTGTTGGTAGTGGTATGATACAGGTGACTGGAGACATTAGATATGCATTGAGGTCTCTCCTCCCTTTGACCTCCCGTGCCTGGCGAAGTGAGGAGGGTTTTAGTGAGGAAGTACAGGCACGAGGTGAAGCCTGGGTGCTAATGCTTTTTTGCCCTGTCAAATCCCCTTCAGTGTAATTGTGCGTCTGCACAAAGTCAGGGATGAGAGCGAGGCAAGCTGATCGCTGTAGCAAAATCAATAGTTCATACCTCTCTGAGATTGAGTTTTTAGGAAAGGAGGAGCACCATGACCAAGGGCAGAATATGAAATCACTCCCACAGAGGCCCAACACGCGCTCTGCAATCGATCCCCAGCCCCTGTACCAATTATACTTTTAAGGTTTGTCTGTGGCTTACTGCAGTCCTCACAGACCAAAGCTTTGGAAATAGACATTGTGTTCACTGACACTTCGACAAGGGTTGCAATTTTTTCATCCCCTTGGATATTGCTGTCTGAAATGCCTCTATACCTCCAGTCTTTAATTTAGAGCAGAGATTGATTTCTCCTTTTTCTCAGTCAGGGGAGTGAAATTTGAGGGGAAAAGTATTGTGGTTATAACTGGCATGTTATGTATCATATCTCCACAGATTTTTGGTTTTTCATACGTATCTAATTCTATATTATTGTGGCCACAAATGTCTGATTTGTCTTCACAGGATTTATGTGAAATCGTCAGAAGCTAACCTTACTTCTCAGTAAAATTGCGATAACTGAAGTGTCCGTAAATAGAACAGATTTTTTTGTTAAACATTTTACTGGTTGATGGATTTTGATTGCAGCCTTTAAAAACATTGTGTTTTCTTAGATAATTGGAATAATCCGTGTATATCGGTGATAAATGTATAGATTGTCTGGTGAAAGTTCAGCTAACAAAAAATTTATCTCGCTGCATTTGACCTGTGCTGGTGGTAGTTTTATGTTTTGTCTTTGATCGATACATCTTCCCGAGTTCGGTCGGTGAAGTAAAAAAAGTCTTTAACATTTCAGACCTGGTTGAGTTGGGAACACCCATGATACTGTGTTAACAGCAAGTGCAGTTTAATACTACAGCAAACACCCCTTGAGAGGCCACTTAGTCAGAAAAAACAACAGTGGAGCAACTATTGTTCATTTGTTTACAGTGCAGCCAAGTATGTTGCTTTAACAGAGAAGTTTGTAAACATGGTGCAACTATTTTTTCATACAGCAGCAGGACAAAGTGAAGTTGGTTAACTTAGGAGTTGGAGGTGCGCGCCTGTTGCTGTAGCTGTTCACCTGAGACCCCTCTGTGGCTGCTCCACTCTGTAGCAAAAATGATGCTGATCCGCAGACCTAGTCTTTCTTTTTAGACACATTTTTGATGAAGGATCGCAGTCAGATACATTGACTTTCCTGTGGCTTCTTCACAATAATATTTTGTCAGTTAAACACATTTAATGTGAAGCAGTAGGAAATGTTTAGCATTAGCAGTAACTTAATACAGCTCTGCCACATTGTTCCAGTGAAAAGTGATCGATGTGATAAAATTGCAGTGGATTACATGTTTTCCTGAGAATCCACCATAGATAGGCAATCTGAATACAGCGTGGAAATGGCGAATTCTGCCATAGCAGAGAAGCAGAAAACATGAATGGTGTCAAAATGGGCTTTAATGTTTATAAAATTATTTTATTAAAGATGTATGGCTGATATTTACCTATTAAATGACCACCTGTTCTTAATTCTGTTTAGCTCACATCTCAGTCCGCAGGTAGCTGAGAAGAAAAGTGTAGAGCACAAACTGTTAAAAAGGTGCTGGGACAGCTTCAGTCCAGTGAGCGTCTTCATCAG